CCGTCGGGCCGCGGGCGCGGGCGCGGGACCACCGCCGCGGCGCCGCCGCCGCCCAACAAGTCTGCGCGCAGCAGCCGCGCCTTTTCGCTGCCTCCGCGGCCCGCGGCGCCCTGCCCCGCGCCCCCGCCCCCGCCTGCCGCCGCGGAAGCCGGGCGGCTACCGCTGCGCCGCAGCGATCCGCCAGCTGCCAGGATGGAAGCTTCCAGCGCCTGCTGCAGCAGATGCAGCTCCCTGCGGCTGGGGCCCGACTGGTGCTGCTGGGGGGCCGCGGCGGCGGCCGCGGGCGCAGCAGGAGCCTGGCGCCGCTTTGTTGGACGTTTCAAGGGCCCGCCTTGCTGCTGCTGCTGCTGCTGCTGCTGCTCCTGCTGCTGCCGCTGCTGCTGTTGCTGCTGAGGCGGCGCCACAAACGTCGCCTGCTGGTGGCTTGGTCGCCGCGCGAACGGCGCCCAGACTGCCTGCAGCTGCTGAGGCGGCGCCGCAGCCGCCGCCCGCGGGGCCTTCGCGGGCCCGCCGCCGAGCGTCCGCTGCGGCTGGTGTCGCTGCGCAGGGGTGTGTTGTTGGGGCTGCCCATGCTGCGTCGCGCGTCCTGGTGCAGGCTGCTTGCGGGCTTTGACCGCTTCCCGCAGCCCTGCTGGCTCCTCCAGGAGTTGTATCTCGTCTTCCCACATGTCGGAGCCCTCGCCCACACCTGCCACGCCGCCTCGACCGCGAGCACCCCTGCTGCCGCTGCCGCTGCCGCCGCCCCGCCGGCCGCCCTCGCCGTCGCTGTCACTCAGGGTGAGGTCGACCACCTCTCCGGCCGCTGCACGCGCTCGCGCCCCCGCGCCGGCGCCCCCGTCCGAGCCGAGCAGCCCACTCGGCCGCCAGCGCTGCTGGTCCCGCGGCGCCGAAGGGTTGGCCTCGTCCTGCGGCTGCTGCCGAGCGGGCGCGGGGCCGTCGGGTGTCGCGTCCTCACCCTTGGCCCTCACCGGCCAGTCGCCCAGCCCGCTGTGCGCCAGGTTGCCGGGCGCGGCCTCGGGCATCAGGCGCGCAAGCGCCAGGCGCTCCTCCGGCCGCAGCAGGCCGCTGGCCGCCATAGCAGCGCGCGCCTCGGTCAGCACCGTCTGGGGGGGGGATAGGGCAAGGGTGTTTGGCAGGGCCGGGGCAGACGGGACGCAGTGCCAGGCGGGCAAGGGAGGTGGGGTTTGCTGGCTGCGGAGGCCTCGCACGCATCCAATGATACACCACCATCGCCCTCCACTGCGCCCCATGGGGGGAGCAAAATGCTGCGATCAACTGATCGGGCATCGATCACGCACCCGCGGGAGCGCCAACCGGCCGCCGCTGAAATCCTCGGCCAGCATGAGGACCTGCCTGATGCAGTCCAGCCACGCTTCGATGACATGCTGCTGCTGCTGCTGCTGCTGCTGCTGCTGCTGCTGCTGCTGCTGCTGCTGCTGCTGCTGCTGCTGCCCATCGCCCCGCGCCACGGGGGCTGCGTCGGCCGCCACGAGCGCGGGCGCGCACGCCAGGAGGCGAGCCATCCATTCCAAGTCCCCCGGCGGGAGCGCCTCCGGGGCAGCGCCCAGTCCGCCGCCGCCCCCGTTCAGCAGCCGCCGCTGGCGCTCCAGCATTGCCACAAACAGCCATGCCGCAGGAATGACTGCGAGCACAGCTGGAGCGGCCGCGGTCGCGAGCGGTCGGGGCCCCTCATCACCCTCCCCTGCGCCGTCCCGTTGCTGCTCCTGCTGCTGCCGCGAAGAGACTTGGTCAGCCCTGATGGCATCGAGCAGATCCAGCAGGAGATCCCACAGACCTGGAAGCCAAGGAGCCACCAGCGTCATCGCGACGCCCTCATCCAAAACCTCCGCGGCGATGAGCAGCTGCCGCACCATCAGGCACAGCGGCGCCGCGCCCCGCCACCGCGCGGCCGCGGCGGCGCCCGCTGTTGGCGCAGCAGCGCCGCCGCTTCCGCGGGCGGCGGCGGCGGAGGCGGCGAGAGAGACCGCCTCCAGCAGCTGGCTCGCGGACTCTGCTGCGGCGGCGAGGCCGGCCGCGGCTTGCCGCCTGGCGACTAACCCGTCGAGCTCCAGGTGCGCGACCGCCGCCGCCCCCAGCCCGGCGAGCCCGCCAGCCCCGGCGGCGCCGCCGGCGCCCGCGAGCGCGGCCGCTGCAGCGGCCTGGCAGGCGGCGGAGGGCGCGAGCATGGCGAGCGTGCAGCACGACTGTACCGCAACCCGGAGCTCGCGGGTGTCAGGGAGCGCCCCGCCCGCCGCCGCCGCCGCGGCGCCGCTGGCGGTTGCGAGGGCCTCGTCGCCGCCGAGACCCTCCTCTGGGCGCAGCAGGCGGCCGGCGGCCGCGCAGGCGGCGAGGTGGGCCTCTGTGCGGCGAATGGGAATTAGGCATGGCGGGGGTGGTGGCGTGAGCTTTGAGATGCAGCACACTCACGTTGAGTGCTGCTTCGTGGGTGGCGTCACTCCTGGGCCCGCCAGGCCCCTGCACGCGGCTGGCGCAAGGTCAGCTCCACAAACGAAGGGAAGCAAGCCGTGATATGGGCCACCCGGACTTCAGTGTCTGAGCAGCGCCATCGGCAAGGGAAGCCCCCACCTGCGCAGGACAGCAGTTCTGCAGCAAGCAACGCAGAGCGCCCGTCCATGGCGACGCAGCACTGCGTCGCCGCGCCCAGTTCGGCCGCAGCGGCTGCATCCGGGCTCGGCAGTAGCGGTGCTAAGCCCTGTGGCTGCTGCTGCTGCCGTTGCTGGTCGTTTGCCGGGCACAGTGGCGCGACGTGCGCCGCGGCCGCAAGCAGCGCCCCTGAGACCTGTGGCTGGTCACACCCAACCAGCAGCCGCCACAGCCCCGGCACGCACGACGTGGCCGCGACAACGCCGCCGCCCGCCTGAGCAGCGGCGGCGGCGGCCGCGTCGTCCGCGGGCATCGACAGGCCAAGGGTGCAGGGGCCGGCGGGGGCGACGCCAGGCGGCGCGTGGCGTGCGCGCAGCAGCGCGGAGGCAAGCTCTGTGGCGTCGACCTGAGGAGCAGGCGCGGGGGAGGCAGTCGAGGAGCGGGTGCAGCCAAAACGCCTCGTGTCGGCCCACTGGCGGGCACACATTGCTGACACGTTACCAGGCCAGAGCTAAGGTTTAGGGCCTTGGCTGCGGGTCTTTTACGATCATGCGCGCTGCAAGGGGTGCAGCAAACCTGCAAGGTCCTGCCTGCCAAACGCCGAACGCGGCCGATCAGCAACCAGCTCGCTCCTCGTGCACACATACACGTACACACAGACGCACGCCCACACAACCCCATGCAAACACACACGCACGCGTGCGCGCCCCCCACCTGCATGGCCGCGACGATTAAGTCAACCGCCTGCCCCTCCACCCTCTCCCGCATGCCGGCTGCCAGCGCCACCCCCGCCGCCGCCGCGCGCGGCGCGCCCGCCGCTGCCGCCGCCCGCCACCCCCACAGCTGCGCCCCCCAGCCCGCGGGGCGCCCGCCGGCGGCGGCGAGGCGCGCGCACAGCTGCAGCCCCGACTCCAACGCCAGCGCCTGCACCAAGCCCGGCGCGCTGCTGCCGGGTACCATCACGACCAGGTGGCGCGCCACCGCGAGCGCCGCCTCCTCAGCTTCCGCTTCCAATTGAGCTCGTCCGCCTGCGTCGTCGACGCCTGACGCGCCGGTTGCGTCCGCAGGCGCGAGTGCGGACGCCGCGACCTCGGGCAGCGCCGCCACGACCGCCTTGAGCAGCGGAACGTCGCGCAGATTGGCCCACGTGGCGGCGCACAGCGCCGCGACCAGCTGCCGCGGCCCGACCAGCCCCGCGCCGCCGCCGTCGCCGTCGCCGCTGCCGCCACTGTCCATATCGCCGCCGCCGCCGCCTGAAGCATGAGTCATGCCATCCTCGTCATCGTCCAGGTCCTGATCCGTGTCTTGGCCGGCCCCCAGCGCTCCGAGCCGCCATGCGTCGCCCTTTGCGACACGCAGCAGCGGCACCAGGCACAGCAGCGCATGCATCTGCTCCTTCTGCCCCACGCCGCCGCCGGCGCCGCCGCCGCCCGCGTCTGCGCCCGCGGCGGCCGCCAGCGCCAGCGGCAGCAGGCGGGGGCAGCGCGCCGCGACCTCCTCGAGAGCATCCGCCTGGAGGCAGTCGCACACGACCGTCTTGAGCGCCGACCACACCTGGACGCGCGGCCACGCCACACGCGCCCGACCCTCCCCATGGTTCACCGCGCCGCCGTCGCCGTCGCCAGCAGCCCCCACATCGCCAGATCCGTCGCCCTCGGGCCGGCCGAGGCGCCGCAGCCAGCGCCGCACCACTTCCAGCAGTTGTGGGCTTTCCTGAAGCTGCTCCCAGCTGACGCGGCCGAGGGCGGTCACCAGCGCGTGCGCCTGCGGGGCGCGGTGGGTGCCAACCGCGAGACCAGTGATGACTAACGGCTCGCCGGCTGCTGGTGACGTTGAGCCTTCACTGCCGCTCTTGCCGCCGCTGCTGCACGTGCTGCATGTTGCAGCTGTTCAAGAGGCAAGAACCGGCGTCCTGGTGATAAACTCTTCACGCAAACACTCTTGCCATCCTTTCCCTGGACAGCGCGGCACCTAACAACAGCAGTCAATGGCCCACAACCCGCTCATGGGCGCGCGCACTGCGGCGCCCTTTCGGACGCAAGCCGGCCGCCCCGCCCACCGCTTGACGGACGCCAGGGTCCGGATGGGCCAGCAGGAGGTAGTGGCCGGCGCCGGCGTCGCCCCTCTGGACATCCACGAGCGGCAGCAGCGGCGCGAGGGCCGCCACGACGCCGGCGTCATCAAGCAGGTGGCCGCTGCAGCGGGAGGGGGAGGGTGTGTATGCGTACACGACAACAAAGGGGTGGTTGTCAGCATGTACAGCGTGTTCGGAGCCAAGGGCCTAGAGATAGAGGGAAAGTGTGTAAGAGTGTGTTTGGCGTGCGTGCGTGCGTGCGTGCGTGCGTGCGTGCGTGCGTGCGCGCGCGCGCGTGCGTACGTGTGTGTGTGTGTGTGTGTGTGTGTGTGTGTGTGTGTGTGTGTGTGTGTGTGTGCGCGCGTGTACATGTATGTGTATGTGTATGTGTGTGCGTGCACACGCGCGTGCACGTGCGTGTTTGCGTGTGCAGGCATGTCCTCATGCGGGTGTGGCTCCTTGCATGTGGGCCTGTGAACACGCATGCAGGTGCCGGCATGCACGCAGGAGCGTGCCTGCAGTAGCACTGAACCAGATTCAAGCAGGCAATCAGAAGCCACCCCTTGCACCACAGAGGCACGCAGGCCAGGCACAATTATCGCACGCAGGCATTGACAGGAGCCACCCACTCGACCAGGGTCTCCTGCAGCGCCAGAGCCAGCGCCTCGTCAGCAGCCACGCCATCCACCGGCCCAACAGGCTGGGGACCCCCACCGCCGCCGCCGCCGTCTGCTCCCCCACCGCCGTCCCGCCGGCCGTCCGCCATCGCGAACGCCGCTCCCGCCTTGAGCCAGGACTCGAGCCTTTCGGCATCCAGCCGGCGGATGGCGGGCGCCGCCGCGGCGAGCGCGTACATGCGCGCCTCCTCCTGAGCACCCAGCGCCTCGCCGCGCGCGCGCCGCCGCTCGAGCGCCAGCTGCTCGCGCCGCAGCTCGGCCTGCGCGCCGCGCCATGCGGCGGCGCACGCGCCGCAGCGCGCGAGGCTGGAGCGGGTGTGGTGCCAGATGGCGGCGACGACCGGCGTCGATTGGGGGTAGGCCAGAATGAGGGACAGCTGCTTGGAAACTGCGGGAGCAGAGGGGGGGGGTGGAGAAGATGTGTTTGCAGAGAAAGTGTCCACATCGGAGAAAAGGGTGTTGCACAGCACATGCTGCCTCATGGCATTCATTTGATCACAAACGAGGCACGCGACGCGAGGGGCAGTGTGACTCAGGTCAGGCTCACTGGCGGCGTGCTGGCACCATGGGTGCTCCTTGCCCTTCAAAAGGGCCCATGCTGCCTGGTAGAACTGCGGACGATTCAGATTTCAGATGTTTCGTGGCGCGAGTGAGGAGGCGGGCAGTGCAACGCAGCAGCACGAGCAGCGCGAGCGGCACCAGCACTACGCCAACCACTGATTGCGAGCCGGGCCGCGACGCAGTGCCCGTTGGCACCTCCAGCACCGTGTTGCATGCATTTAAGATGCCTCTGGTGCATCGTTGGTGCGCTCGCTTTCTACCGGGGACCTCACCTGGCGCAAATTCGTGACATCCTGCTCTAGACCGCCTGAAATTCTCTGAAGCAGCTCTTCCTCTTGCATTGTAGTACAGAATTCTTTGTGGCTACATTCTGCATTGCTCAGTGCTTTCAAATCAGATCGAGCGTCCCGTTTGTTGAGCGGTAATTCCGTAATTGTCCATGGCGATGTACAGAAGAGCCAATCTGGTGCTCATAGTACCGGCATCCTCGCTAGCAACGTGGCCTGACTGAGGTGACGGGTAAGTAACCCTGGTGACTAAGGTTACTCACTCGGCACTGGGAAGTGCAGACGCGCAGTGCGAGGCTGAGTGCCTGATTGTGTTTTGCGCGGTACTCGATGCTTAAGTGATGTGATCGAGTTCCGGTGGAATGGGCACGGGCAGGGATATCCCACTCGCTTTGGGCACACCGCTGCATGCCACATTCACCGTGTGGGTGTCCACGGTGGTGAGCTCCTCCAGTCACCACAGAGTAACGACGCGCTCCTCACTGCACGCATGCGACTTCGGTGATTTTTCTTGATGGTGGAGCAAGCAAAGACGCGTTTGCTGGGTCAAATCTAAGAAGGACGGGCCGCCACCTGTGCCGCCTGCCACTGCCGACGACCGCTACGGGAGCATTCTTGTAATTGGTATGCTTCAGGGTGCATGTCACAGGACAGCCCAGGATCACACTTGGGCATTTACATATGTGACAATCAACAGCTGCCAGCACAAATGCTCCACCATGAAACAATTTCAAAGGACCTTGCTCAGACGGTGCACCGAAGTGTTTGGCTGCCAATCTTGCAGAGGAAACGGCAGGTAAGAGTGGCATGATACAGTGAGCCCGGCCTCAGATAGCTCACTCCCGCCCGGCACAGGCCAGACTGAAAGGACAGCGCAACTTTGCGTCTGCTTGAGACCTGGAGCACCCACGCATGCAAGCTCCTGGTCTCCTGTAGTAAAGTCTCTGACCAGGCCCTCTAACCAACGAGGCATGGAACACCCCAGGCAACACCAAGAGTAGCCTACTTCCCGTGCAGTCAGGCGGGCAGGCGCGTCCAAAGCACACGCCCAAGCAAGCCGACCGGCAATCCTATATACATACCTAGCTGCAAGCGTTGTGCTTGACGAATGACGTGTCAATAAGGCCTGACTGCGGCGCCCAATACAGAAGCCGGGTTGGCCGCATACTACGCAGACAAGCAAACTCGGGGTAGTTGCCACATGCGGTGGCAGTGATCTGAACCCGTGAGAATGCGCTGCCTGTCCTGTGAGTCTGGGGTGCGCTGGTGGCCTCCAAGGGCCCTCGGGAGAACCAGCCTCCACACGCGTAGGAGTGCACGCCTGGAGTACCGAAACCTCCGCATCGGGGCACAGTCACGCCGCTGCCCCGAGCATGATGGTGGTCAGTGGTACGATGTACGTGCGCAACGCGCGCAGCAGCAGCGAGCATTTGTGGCTTCAAGGCAACGCATAGATGTTTGGTTTGCTGCATTTTTTCCACCGTTAAGACAAAGCCGCCCGCACGCAGCGCTGGGTGAGAGGCCCAATACAAGCCAAGTTGCGGCTAGCTGATGAGAGCGCTGAAATTGTTTTTGCCTGCCAACCATCCGGAGCGGGCGATTGCGGCACCATACGGGCACGCTCCCAGCGCTTCCTGCCCCACACAGGCACATACAGCCGACGCCCAGCACCTTGCGAGGGCGCAAAAGCCTCGCATGAATGAAATGGAGAGCGCTCACTGCCACTACTGCAGGGGCAAATGAAGTGGCAGTCCTGGTGGTTAAACACAGGTCGCAGGCACGGCAGGGGCCGCACCGACCCCCGCCGCCCGGCAGTCAAAAGCCGGATGACGGGCTGGTGGCCGCCAAAACAGGGAAGCCAGGTGCAAGCCTTGCCGGCTGGGGTGTGCTGACTCGCGGCACTTTAAAAGAAGTCGGCGTCGCTCAAAGCAGCTTCGCGCACCGAGGCCCCCATTTGATGCGCCGACAGGCACTTATGGCGCAGCGTGCACGCCAGACACAGTCTACTTGCGGCGCGCCTTGGCGCCCGCGCTCCTGTCAGACCTCGGAGAGCCGCAGGCACTTGAGCTGGACCCAGTGCCCACCAGCGAAGGCACCGGCGAGCTGCCTCGGCTGACGGACTCCTCACTGCTGCCCTCGCGGCGGCAGTCGCCCTCCTCGGGGCAGCTGGGGCCGTGCAGGCTGTCGCGGATGCCCACCAGCTTCAAAAAGGTGTCCCAGAGGCGGCCGAAGAACCTGACGGTGTGCATGCCAACGTCACAGCGGCGTCAGGAAAGCTAAGAGTCAATTTAGCAGCACAGCTCTGATCGCCAGGGGCCTCACAACAGCCATCATCCCCGAGGGAATTGCTCAAGCAACGAAGGGCTGCTCAGGAGTGCGATATGGCAGGCATGCGCTCGGACCTGAAATACACTGGGGCGCTTGGCTCTCACCCCACAAACTGGAACATGATGTATGTGTCGAGCAGTAGCCTGATGCCTGGACGGCCCGTGGGCAGGGCGCTGTACACGTGAGTCATCGTGACACTGGGGTCGCGGTACGCGTCTCCCACCACACCGCCGCCATACCTGCATGGGATTAAGCAAGGTGGCGTATGCTCGTTGCAGGGGGGCTGGGGGCCGCTGCTTTACTCGCGCACATGAGAGGACGCCAAGCTGGGCAGGCACATATTTACATCCATGCTTGTGACAAATCCCCCGTGGACCCTTGAATTCAAGCATTCACAAGCTGCCGACGACCTGGCTGCCACAATGATTTGCCAACAACGCAATTATGCAACCCTCATCTCCGGCCATCACGATGCGCTGCATCCCTCCCCTGCAACTCTGCACCACACAAACCATGTGCAAGTCCTTGACGCACCCCGGACCCCCCTGACAGGCCCTCGCGTTCCAAGAGACATCCACGCACCTGGCCTTCGAAAAGGCAAGGTTTTGGAACTGGTAGAGGTTGTTGCCGTGATGGAACAGGAACGTCAGGCCCAAGTGGGCAAACAACGAGCCATGGAAAGGGGACCTCTGAAGGTTGAAAAAGGGGCTGAAGCCGAAGGTCAGCACCTCCTTGCCCTCTGCTTTGACTGCCGCCAGGATCTCCTCATACAGCAGCTTCAGGGTGCCTTGGCAGGGGGTGCGATCGGCAGACGAGGGGGCGTCAGGCCTAGATATGCCAGGCTTGGAGGTGCATCAGGTCAAGACGTGTCAGGTGTGGAGAAGGCTTGGACACCGGTGACACACACACACACACACACATGCACACACACACACACACACACGCGCGCGCGCGCACGCACGCACGCACACACACACACACACACAAACAGATGTTGGCATGAGGGACGGAAGTGGCCATCAAGAGGACGCGCGAAGGCCTGCAGCAATGAGTGCATCTCTGGCTGGTGTTGGATGGCATGAGCCTGAGACTGCCTGCGACCATTGTCTCTCACTGGCCATGGGGCACGTGTTCTCGCAACATGCCCCCGTCCCTCACTTGTACCCCAGCCTTGCCCAGCGACCGCCTCCCACCGTGGTGGCCGTCGCGCCGCATGCGGTTGAGTGATGTCACGTAACCAAACACCTCCCCGCCGCGCCACAGCGGGTCCAACAGCACGAACCCCTCAACCCCGCGCTGAGTGTCTGCCGCCGCTGGCTCGCCGCCGCCGAGCGGCCCCGCTGTCGCGGGGTCGAACAGTCCCGGCTGCCCAAGCAGGTTGGGCGGAGGAGGAGGCAGGCTATCGCGCTCTGCTACGAACAGGCGCACACCGTCCTCCAGCTGGGGGTTTTCGTAATCCAGATGGCGGATGAAGACCCTCAGCTCCTACCAGGGCAAGCGCAGGGGTCCAACAGCCGGGTTGAGCTGCGGCGAGTGTCTGTGGCACGACTGTCTGCACTCGTCTCCAGGCAGATTGGCCGCATGCAGTCCGCCACAGGTGCAGCTCCTGCCAGCGCACGACAAGGTGGACGCCGGCCCCGTTGTGGCAGCGACGCTGTCACTGGACCAGTCTCTAGCCCCAAAGCGCGCCACAACTCTGCCACCGACGGCCGGGTGGGTGACCCTGCCCACCTGCTCCTTGACGCTCTTCTGCTGCAGCCAGTCGCCTGCGAGGGGGGCAGAGGTTGACGAACAGGGTCAAGCCTGCCCAGTCCAGAAGACAGCTGGCGCAAGATTCCAGTACAAGGACCTTTTGCTGTCAGCATCCACCATGCGCGTGGGCAGCCTGTGACAGCGCACCTAGGCCAGCACAGCTGGCCCAGGGAGCAACGGCCTGAACGACCCACGCACCTGTCACATCCGCCAGCTGGCGGCCCACGTGCGGAGTCAGGCCCGCCGGCCCCACCTCCCGCACCCGCACGCCGGCGCTGCGCGCGTCGCGGGCCGCCGTGCGGATCGTGCGGGTCCGCTTGCCGTAGCCCCAGGCCCGCACCAGTATGTTGGTCTCCGCCCCCATGTCCGCAATCGCAAACCCTAGCCGCTCCTGCAGCACGCGCGCGTACGCGGGCCCGACGTGCATGAACGACGCATGCGGCAGCGCCGCCTTGAACGCGGCTGCGAGCGCCGGCCAATCGCGGGGCGCGGCGAGCGGGTCGCCGATTCCGACGGCAATCGCGCGGCCGTAGGCCTTGGCTGTGACGTAGGGCTGGCTCCCGAGGCCGGGCACAAACAGGTGGGTGTACTCCGGGTTGATCAGGGTGGAGTTTGAGAGGGCACCGGCGCCGTATAGGCGAAGGTAGGGGCCGACCAGGCGCCAGGCGTCCGACTTCAGGCCTGGACATGGGGGGCGCAGGTGGACGAGGGGTGTCGGACAGCGGGACAAACGGTGCAGGGGGGGGGCGATTTGGCCAGCGCATCACTGGTTCAAGAGCTTACACAACCGGCCCCGGCAGTCCGAAAGGGTTGGACTGAAAAGCTATGAAGCAGCCACTTCTGAGGTTCACAGGTTGTGGAGCGACAATTCGCCGCGTCCGCCGCAGGGGCGCGCAGGCTTGGGGGCTCGACCCACTACGCAGCGACCCCCGTGCGTGCACCACTATGCTGGAGCTCCGGCGCGCTGCAGCCACACCGAGCGTCAGGCAGTTGCTCAACCCTGCCAACCCAGAGGTGTGCTAGGTGCGTGCCTCAGCTGAGCTTACCCAGTCCTGCCCGTCAACCCCTTCACACGAAAGCGGAAAAGCTCAAGACCATGACAGTTTGCAACAGCCCCATCGCACCTTTGGAGGGCTCGACGGCTATGTGCAGCGTCGGCACCGCGCCGCGCCCCTCGGCCTGCGCCAGCAGCTCGGCGTGGCGGGGGGACAGCAGGTGCAGCGGCGGCAGCGGCGGCGGCAGCGGCGAATGGGGGGCGCCCTGCTGCTGCCCCTTCGCGCCCTGGGCGCCCGCTAGCGCGTCCGCGCCCAGGTCCACGGTGATGTCGGCAACCGCTTCATCGTCAGAGTCATTCTGTGCGGAGATGGTCTCGACGGCGCTGCCAGCGCCGTCGCTTGAAGGCCCCTGCAGCGCATGTGGCACCCACACGGGTCGCGGCTGGGAGGGGCCTGGGACGCCCAGCATGCGACGCAGCAGGTCGGCTGAAAGCGTGTAGCAGGCCATCAGCTGCGAAAGATAGGTAACATGTATAAAGGTGGGTTTGACGGGGGTGGAGGGGCAGCATGCGACACATGGTGGGGAGGGGCCAGGTGGCGTCCGACATTGGGTCGCTGAAGTGAGCAGCGAGCGTGGGAGCTGCTTGGTTTGCGCAAGTCATGCGGCATGAATCAGCACGAAGCGGCTCAGCAAGAACCGAAATCGAGTAAAAATACTCACCGAAAGCACCACCAGCGTGAGGAGCCCGACACAGACGCGCAGGGCCAAGGACCACGCCTGTGACCCTGGCAGTGATTGCGACGGCTTCGACATAGGCGGCGACAACCTATTTATGAATGGGGAAAACATGTAATAAATACAATCCTGAGTAGCAACACCGTGATTGCAGACTACCTAGACCAATCGCAGCACGCGGCGCCGTTCTTTGGTGGCCTCTGAGAAGGAATTCTGTCTCTAGAGGTGGAATTGCAACATTAGTCACTCAAGAGCACGCTTGAGGCAGTGTGCTTCCTCACAACGATCGCAACTTCCATCAACCACCCTCCAAGGTTACCAAGGCTGGCTGCTGGAGGCATGCGCAATCAGAAGATGCACAGAGCTGGCTGGTAGCTTAACATATTGATATGCTAGGGTAAGAAAATGTGGGTTGCAAGCGGGGTGCCGCATGCAACCACCACCTAACAACTCAACACGGAAGCCACAGCGCACAGCTTAACATCGAGGATAGCTCTCCACAAGCCACACCAGCGATTCCGCGGGCTACAAGCACGCAAGTTAGTGCACTTGGTCCACTTTGTGTAGCTGTCTAATCAGGGGTGCCTGTTGGGCGGGTCCCAGCAGTCTACGCCAAGTCTTGGTCATCTGCAAGGCGGCCACCATGGGACACGGTGCAACATCCCTTTCGCGACTCGCGGAGGGTCGGACCACGATTTCATTACCTTCAAGCCGCTCAGGCATATTGCGTGTACGGCCTCAGTGGCCTGGCCCAGCGCCTCCCGAACTGGCGTCGGGCGCCCGCCGCCGAATCGGTGTCGGACACCACCCTGCCTATCCCCTAACAAGTGTCTTCGCCCTCCTCCTTAATTCCTTCCTCGCCCTGGCCGTCCAAGCCCTGCGATCTCTCATGCGGACCATTCTAGTTGTAATTGGTTTCACGCTGACGAAGTGCATTTGTCAATCTAGTAAACCGTTTCTTTGCAATCTGCCTGCACCGCAAAACGGCCGCCCAGTGACAGCAGCGCTGAACTGCAATACGGACAGGCACTTGACAAATAACAAACAGAGCGCTTGAAAAAGCAAGATCAATTGCTGGAGATCCAGTGACAAAGCATTCAAAGCACACAGCACACACGCCGCAAACATGCATGGCCTTGGCCTGGGCTCCTGGGGCCTCTCCCAGGCAAGCGCGCAGCGCGCCGCCGACCCACCCGCAACGGCGCACATAGGCCCATAATGCATCTGTTTTAAACGAATCTAACTTCGGCTTGGAGTCGTAGATACCGTATGATGATCGTCGGGGTATTGATCTACCGTACAGCGATGAGAAGCCCAGTGTGATACCGATACGGTACGGTAAACCAGGCGCGCTGACTGTTTGTGGAGATTGCCCAAAATAAATTTCTATCAGGGTTTGTGCAGGTTCACTGATCGGCATATTTGACATCTGCTTTGAATGCACAACCGTGATCTGGACTTTTGACCACGCCACGAAGAAACGAATAATTAAGCATCACTAGAACGATCCTGGTAGCGGCAGACGCATCAAGAGGACCACTATGTCTGCCGTGGCCGCGGGCGTCGACGCGGCAGGCGCGTCGTCAGCGGCGCAGCCCGCCGTGGCGGACCCGCGCAGCGACTACGCGTGCAAGGACCAGCACAGCGTGCGCGTGATCGACTCCCACATGCCCGAGGACCTGGAGCGCGACGTGCTCCTGGTGTCGGCAGCGGCGGTGGAGCGCCACAGGCAGCTCAAGGACGTCGCGCAGTTTGTGAAGCAGGGCATGCAGCGGCTGCACCCGGGCGGCAACAGGGCGGCGGACGGGGTCTACCACTGCGCGGTCGGCAAATCCTTTGCTAGTGAGTGCATATTGCTGCCGGCTGACAACCCGGGCTGCTGGGGCCCTTGCATGAGCCTGCCTGTACCCCGAGCTTGAACGCCCGGGGAGTGTCTGTTCGCGTCGCCCCTGCTGGGCGGCAGCGGCAGCCTCCGTGTAAAGCAGCGCCCTCCCCGGGGGTGTGGGGCCGTCACACACCAACGCCCCGCCATCCGCCGCTCATTCGCCCCCCCAGGCGCCGTGAGCCACGAGGTGCGGCAGTACATCCACCTGCGGGTCGACAGCATCCACGTGGTCTGCTGGAAATCGAAGGACAGCCCCTTCCACTCCTCAGACACCTAGACACGCACTTGCCAGGCGCTGGATGCCTGCTGTTGCTGCTGCCGGTGCTGCTGCTGCTGCTTGTAACTCGGCATTCCCTGACAACTTCAAAGCCTGGAAGGCGCAGCGTCATGGCGGGGACTGTTGCAGGTTTGTCAAAGAGCGCCGGCCAACAGCTCCGCGCCAGGTGGCGCAGCTGAGAATGAATCTGGGGCAGACGTGGATGGACAGAGGATGGGCTCGAACCAGTACCGCTCTCAGCGCGAGCTGAAGACACACAGCGGATGGCATGACGCCGCTGCCCCCAGCCCAGGCTCGCTGCGCTGCGATCGAGGCGCGGCAGCGGCAGCGGCAGGGGCAAAGCACGCCCTGCCGGCGCACTGCGGGAAATTCGGGGAGTGCGCTCGGTCACATCCTGCCCAGTTAGGGGGTGCCTGGAAGGCGTGCGGCCGCCCCGTCGGGCAAGAGCAGGGCAGTGCGCCGCCGTTCAGCAGGGGTGGCGTTTTGCAGCAAAGCGGCGGGCGCGACGACGGCTGCGCCAGCCGGCAGCAGCGTGGGCGCCCGCCCGGCCCCCCACCCCCATGGGCGCCAGCACTCGGCCCTTTCGGGGGCTGCCAGGCGTGCGTGGCTGAGCCATGAAACAGGCGCGGGCGCATGAGCGCCGGTCAACGTTATCGGGGCAGCCGTGCGGCCCGTGGCTCCGGCCAGCCGCCAGGTGTCAAACAGCAGTGTCCAAACAGTCATCGGCATGGAAGCGCATGGATGCAGGCCCTACCCAGGGACGCAAACCATGGGACGGCGCGCGGGCTGTGCAGAGTGAACCCGCCATTCTGGCGGCCAAAACCAAACCGAAGCGAACCACACGCGTCAAAAGTGCGCTTCTGTGCAGGGGGCCGTGGGCCGTGTGGCGCGTCGGCGGGGCAAAGACGGAGGAACGGGGCCGCGTCAAAGGGGCAAGGGGTGCAACGGCGGTGTCATATTTACGGGCATCAGCCAGGCATGGTATCAGACAGCTGGGCGCTGCGCCAATGCGGCGAGCTCGATGGCGGGGTGCGCCGCTCGGGCGCGGTCGCGTCAACCAGCTCAGGCGGCTGGGGTCGTGGCCGATCAGGGCCGCGCCCCCGGTCACACACCGGGCGTGTCACACAGGGAACGAAAACAGGGGGAGCGCAGTCCAACAGACGCCTGGCACGGCCAGCGGGCCGGCCTTCCTGGCCGGGCTGCAGCCGGTGGACGGCCGTGAGGCAAACGCGAGGGTGGGAGAGGTGGGGGGCAAAGGGCCCTCCAGCAGACGCCGAGACAAGCGGCGGCGCGCGCCCGCGCCGCGCGTGCGGCTCCGCCGCCCCACCAGCCGGCCCACCAGCAGCTTCGGCGGCGGGGCAGGCGCAAGGCGGGCCCGCGCCCCGGCCGCCGCTCCGCACGTCCTAGCCGCCCCCGGGCTGGTTGGTGCGCAGCATCTGCTGGTAGGCCATGCGGCGCGCGGTGTCCTGGCGCGCGGCCTGGCGGCGGCGCAGGTCCCGCAGCTCCCTGCACAAATAGGACGTGCCAGTGGTATTGAGTGAGAGGACGAGCCGAGAGCGATGCCGTTGGGATTGAGTGGGGCATTGAGTGGGGCGACGAGGGCGAGAGGGAGGCGGAGACGAGGGGTGCAGGGAAGCGGTGCCAGGCGGGGCTCGGATAGGCGCAGCGAGGGCAGCGCCGCCGCGGCGCGAGCCGGGAAGGGGGGGGTGGCAGGGTGCTACGGCACGCGTGCGCGCGCACGCGCCCGCGGCGGCGGCGCCGTGGTGGATGGTTGCGGCGCGTGCCGGCGAGCACCTGGCGTTCAAGCCCCCACGGGGCCCCCTGGACGGCGCTGGCCCTTAGACCTTGGACTGACCGCCCCTTGGGACCCCCCCCTCCCCCGTATGCTCTCCTTCCCCCCCTCGCTCGTGGGTCGTCCCTACAGCGCA